ATCATTTTTTCCAATTCCAATAATGTATTTAATATGGAAATTTTATAATATTAACAGAAACTGTAATGATATTGATTTATGATTTTTTTCACGATTTTTCATAAGGCTTAAAAATTACAAAGTACAAATAATTATAATAAATAATGTCGATAAAAATACATTATACAATGATTTCATAGAACTGACTGTCATGGCTGTTTTGTTAACATATATCGTTTTTTCAATACAATTAAAATTGTATTTATATGTAAATTAATTATAAATTGAATGATACTTATATTAGAATGTAAAATGTTTAATTTAAAAAAAGTTATTGAATATTAACATATTCATGTTTAATGATTACATGATCATGTATAGAAATATCTATACATGAAAAATATAAATATTTACAATGCAATGTAAAGTAAACTATTTCTTAATCAATTATATTAACATTTCATTTATATCGAGTAAATTGTAATAATATATAGAGAAAAAAAATCTTGGCTCATAATTTGTTGTAAAAATAGAGTCAAAGTACTTGTGCAATGTGTTTTTTTGTTTCATATTCACAAACTAGAATACACAAATATAGGATATGCATACTTACGTCATAGAACAGTCTTTCATAGTAGATGAATGTTAAAATTTGTATTTCATTTAGTATAAGAAATTACTTATAATATGCAATTTAAATTCATATATGCAAAATCACTATTTTTTTAAAAGTCACTTCCAATTATGTAGTAACTCTTTGGTAATCCAAAAGTATGCTTCAAGCATAAGTGATATGACACACTATATTAGCTTCTGATGGCAAAATTCTTTTATCTTCTATGACAGTGATCCTTAAGAAAAATTCTAAATATATTGGAAGTTATCTTTTGTAGCAAGTAGAGGTAATTTTTCAATACTCTGTTTGTGATCAAAACTATGCAACCAGTCTGAACTGGGTTTTGCTTTTACACCGCAAAAGCTTAAATTGCAAAAATCAGCTGCATTTTGAAGAGCACCACGATGAAAAGGATTCCCTTGTTTAAAATGCGCGTAGCGTCCAGCATTCATACGCTCGTTTGTTGTCATTCCAAGTACCATGATCTAATGATAAATAATATAAAAATATATATTATTTTATGAAAAAAAGATAATAATCTGATAAATTTGTAATATAGTTGATCATGTAGAAATAAAATAGAAAAAGTAAACAAACCTGATAACACTGACACGCAAGCAGCGTGCCAACCCAAAAGAAATGAAGACATGTATTTGCTGCAACCCACATTACCCAAGCATCACAGGTAGCTGCAGCAACTAAATAATTATCAGCGCTATGCCCATTTGTTAAATTTGTCCAACATTCAAATTGCCAATACTGTACACTAGCGGATAAAACAACAATACAAAGACCTAATAATGATGCTAAAAATCCCAGAAAATACTTGTGGTTATGCGCACCTAAGTTTAAAAAAAAAAAAAAATTAAAAATTATAAGAATACAACTGTATTATTTAAAGATTAAATTATCTAAAATTAATGCAATCTCAAATTATACTGGTAATACATGTTATGGACTTAAACTATTTTATATGACTTACCAATGCAATTATTGATCCAAGGACAGTGATGATCAAAACGTGCTACGCATCGATCGCATGTAGAACAATGTTTAGACCTCATAGGTCTTCTAACCAAGCAACTGCTGCAAAATGATTGTGGTTCAAAACCACCAGACTCTGCTAACTCTATAATCGTCTGAAAATATAACAAAATTCTAGAATAATAAAATAATAATAAATTAATTTATAAATAATATTCTTATAATATAAAGACTATTACATTTAATTTATCTTCATGTGTAGCTGTAATTACACCTGGATCACCTCTCCAGGATTGTAAGAAACATATCCAAAGTGGAACAGATCCACTAACTAATAGTAACCATAAATACCAAGCAGCATGTATACCTAACCAAAATATCCATGTCACGTATATCCACATCTATAACAGATGTGTAATAATAAAAAATACTGATTAGAAATCTGATTAGAATCTGCTATGCAAATTATATGTTAAATAAAAAATTATATGTTAAATAAAAATTATATTTTTTAATAAGAATAATAATCACTACTTAAAAAAAGAAAAAAATTAAAACTATTGTAATAAGAGTTTAATCCAAGAATTTCTATTATATTTCTTTGTATGTTATCTAAAATGTCATGATAAGACATTTATTGTGTATATCATTTGTATAGAAGATGTTATCTGATGTTATCTGATATAGCTCAATCAGTTTTCAACACTTAAGATTTATAATATTATTTAACATTACGATTTTATGTAAGTGAATTATCTAATAATAATAATAATAATAGTTAATATCATATATTATTTTAAATATTCACCTTTGTAGCCAAATAAATTGACATTGGTATAATATGAAATAATCGTTCATCGAAGATAAAATGATTAGCTAAATATAATGCTATATGAAGAGTGACAAAGGCACCTAATTTTACTAGATAATGCAATCCACTTTGAAAAATCATTCCAATTACATAGAAAACTATAAATGGTGTACTGACCATACAATACCAGCGCATTCTCTGAAAGAAGAATTAAGATTTAAAAAATGAAATTGAATAAAAATAATTAAAGTAAATACCTTATCTCTACACCATGTTCTTGTTCTGCCCTGTTTTTCTCTGATTTCTTGACTAAGTTTATGTCCTAACCAGGCAGCACCAATATGACGACCTAACAATGTCATTGGTGTTTCATCTCTTATATTTGGTACATCCAAAGATGCTCCATGATGAACTAATGTTGATATTGCTGTACTATTTTCAGCTATAATAGCCCAATGCAAAGCAGTGTTACCATGTAAATTATCTGCGAGTGAATGAGATGCTCCTAAAGTCAGTAACAAACGTGTTGGATCTAAACTGTAAAAGAAAAAACTTCAAAGTAACCTATATAATATAATTATAAATAAAAATTCTTACAAATAAATATTTTGATTATTTTTTTACATTTACCTATTAACTTTATAGGCACTCCACATAAGGGGTGTCATTGCACTTCTGTCTGGCATATTTGGATTTACTCCTTTAGCAACTAGATAAGCAACAATAGAAGTGTGACCAAATTGTGCAGCTAAATGAATACATGAGAATCCTTCTGAATCTCTAAGAGTTGGATCTGCTCCTGCTCTCATTAATATCACAACTGTAGATAAATGGCCCTGTCTAGAATATAATATAATAATAAGTTTTAATTATTTTATTTGTTAAAATATTTGTTATAAAATATTCTACTATAAACTAGAAATTTAAATTTAGAATTAACCTTGTAGCCCAATGTAGTGGTGTGGAAGCTAGCTCACCACCAATTGCATCAACGATAGCTCCTTTTGCAATTAAATATTTTACAATGTCTTTTCGATTGTTTATTGCTGCCCAATGTAATAATGTTACAGTTTCTGAATCTGGTTGATTTACATCAGCACCAGCTTCTACTAATTCAGTCACACGATCCAAAGCTCCATACTAAAAAGAATAAATTATCCAGACAATAATATTTTTAAATAATTAAGTATAATATTTTTGAATTAACTGATTGTTTAAATGAATACCTGAGTTGCCCTAACAATATCAAATGAGCTACAATCCTGTGCTGGAGGTCTAACAGGTTCCTGATGATGATTACTTGGATCATCAGGTTCTCCACTGCCTTCGCTTTGACAGGCAGTTTGCATTTTTAATGCATACATATTGAATTTGTTATAATATCAACTTCAAAATCACGTCATAGATACAATAAAATTTGTGTATCCAAAAATAATTTTAAAAAATTTTAAAATTTCTTTATATTATAAAATGTAACTGAAATAATAATATATTAATTCTATTAAAATTTTTGTGAATTTTATTAATAATTCTTGTTAACAATTTTTACTTTATTTATTATTTTAATAGAAATTTTATATAATTAAAATAATATTGATATTAAACTTTAAATATTTCTAATTACTATATTAATTAATAATACATTTAATAATATTTATTATCAAAAAACAATTTTGCAGTACATTACTTTATATTGATATATTGATATTTTATATTGATATGATGTTATTAATATTTTTATAAACTGCGTTATAAATTTAAATTTTTAGAATTATATTTCAACTTGTAAAATTAAACCGAAAGTTGTCCAATGAGAAGTTGGTGAGATTATTTCGCAACAAATGTCCATCCGATAATTAATATTATTCAATTTGACAATAATCAATCTATCGTTTGTATTCACTAAGTATACCGCGTTGTAAATATGATATGTACTATAGAGTACATCGAGCACACTGACAATCGATTTAGTATTCAAGTTAGGAACTAATAAACGTTGCAATGTGTAATTCTCTCTCATTCTTGAAAAATTTTTGCAGAATATTATACTATGATAATCTTATTTCTTTCTTTTCATATATATATATATATATATATATTTACAGAACACAATTACTTTGAACGTTTCAAACAGAGATTGATATAGCCGCTAAACATCAAGATATAAAACAATTTCGCGATAAGATTATATTATTGTACAATTCGTAAAATTATCTTCTAATCATAAATATATCAGTAAAAACTATTTAATGATATCATATCTTACCTCTGAAACAATGACAACGCTGATAATAGATTTGCATAGTATACGGCATGCTACCCTTCAATACGTAGTAAGGGGTTAGATTTAAAGGACAAACAGTGAATGGGGGTGGGGCGCCGGTACATTGCATAGAATCCAGACAAGGGTTGACCTTTCTTTCGACTATAGAAAAAAGATTCCGCTGCAACTTGTTTTTTCTATGATCCAAGTCAACACTATTCTTATTCTTTCTTATTTGTTACACAATTTCATCGCTGTTATTATTTTTCTTTTGATGAAATTCTTATTAAATAAGTACACGTCACGTACTGCATCAATATACGATATTTTGCTCGCGTCACATGTACATTATGCTTTCTCAAGTTTCGCGAAGAGCTTCTTATTGACCAAACGGCTTCGTGAGCCGTCCGATCGGTATCCGATACTCATCGAACGAATGCAAAGTTATCAACGAGTCATCTGGCGGAGAAAGTAAATATGGTTGAATTTTCGAAGATCGAACGCCCTCTCGATTTTTTTAATAAAAAGGAAAAAAGAAAAAGAAAAGAAAACTTTTTAATATTTTAATGTTTTAAATGAATTTTCAAAGTTTTTAGGATTTATTTATGTATTTATATATTTATTTATAAAAAAGATAATAATATATTTATACAAAGAGAAAATTTTTCAACAAAATGATAGATTATTTGATTTGAATGTTGTTGATGTCATCAAATTCAAAATTTTGATTAATTAATAAAAGTTTTAAAATTAAGAGAAAATAAAAAATATAAATTATGAATAATTGAATTATTCTAAATTTTTTTACGTCTTAAATAATATATATAATTTATTTATAATATGAATTGTTTTTTTTTATTATAAATTTAAATATTATTTGTATTCAAATATAATATTTTATTGTCTATATAAAATAAATCAATTAAATAAATATTTTTAATTTAATTTCTGAAATTAAATATTTATAATTTTATATATCATAAATTTGCATATTATCTAAAATATTAAGTTTTAATTGGTTAAATTCAAACCAATTATCAATTGACTTACTAAATTCTTTGTTATACCAATTGAGTGTTAGTATTGCGAATCTAGTAAAATTAAAGTTTATGGAAATACGCAACACGCGAAATTTTTGTCTTTCTATACTCTATTTTCCCGCCGATTTTCTTTCTATGTTACAGTGATGTATTTTCTACGTATTATATTTCTGAAAATAGACTTTTAAATAGTAAAATTTTTATATCTGTATATAATATTTTAATTTTGGAATTTGTACATATTTAATATATGCTTTTGATTGCTTTGTTATTATCTATATTCATGTAATAAATTATTGTTAGGTTATAGTAATGTGTCATTGACAGATTTGTCGATCTTGTCAATTGATGTAATGTTGTAAGAAAAGTTTTATATATACGTATTTAGGTAAGATAGAGAATATATAATTTTATTCATTTATTTTTTATCTTTGATTGAGTATTGAATATTTTTTTATTTTATTCATGTTTCTTTTTTATAGAGATCATTGACATGAAAATGATGGACAATGATGGACAAGATGATTGTATTGAGGCAATTACTCCTATTAAGAAAAAAAAAATGAAACAAGGTATTTAATTTATAATATCTGTAATTATTATATAATTATTATATAAAATAATTTTAATAAATTAAAATATTAATGTATATATATATATATACGTAATTCTTTATAATTTTTATAATAATTGATGTTATATGTAATATTTTAATATGTAATTTGAAATTTTATTTCAGCACAATTGCCATTTCAAATGCAAAATCAGATACAGTCATCGAATATTGTTCAAAGTAAGAAAAGAAAATTAACATCACCTTCAATCGAGAATAATTCTCCGAAAGCAATGAAAATTTTTAAGAAAAGTTTGAGTATAGATATTGCAGGTAGTAAATCAAATAATACAGATATTGATACAGAAAATGAAAATGATATAGAAGAGATAGAAGTTGAAAATTTGAAAGAAAATTCAACATCTAATAAATTAAAAACTGAAAATAAATGTGAAACTCCAAAACAGAGTGGACAAAAAACATTAGAAAAATTAAAGTCAAGTCCTTTAACAAAGTTCCTTCAAAAGACTGATAAACAAAAAAATAGTTCAAAGGAAGAATCTCAAATTTCTTTACAAGAAGGAAAAGATGACTTATTTGAAAAAACGTCTGAAAAAAAATATATAAGTAATATAAGCGTATCAGAGACAAGAAATAATTTAACTAATAAAATAGAAGACTCACCATTTACTGTAAATAATTCTCCGAATCAGACTGATTCTGATATTGCTATTTTATCGTCCGATGAAGATAAAGATGAACAAACAAAATCAATTACTAATACAATAAAAGATGTAACTAGTATCTCAAAAAATATTAAGACTCCTAAAATGGATAAAATAAAGCAAAAAAAATTAACACCTAAACAAGAAGAAAAGAAATTATTAATTGCTAAAAGGAAAGAAGAAAGGCAAAAATCGAAAATGGTATTGCAACATTTATAATATACTACTATAGTGTATTATAATGTTAAATATTTTATTTTATTGATTTAATTCTTAACGAATCATTTCATTTATTTATTAGGAAAAAGAAAAGAAATTGGAGGAAGAACGAGAAAATCGAAGAAAAGAAAAAGAAGAGAAACGTAAAGAAAAAGAAGAAAGAGAAAAAGCTGAAAAAGAGCAGAAGATGATGGAAAAAAAAATGAAAGAACAAAAAAAACAAATGGAAATTGAGTATGAACATTTATAATTCTAACAATTATAATTTTAAAATTATAAATTTTTTTTCAGTAATATTTATTTTGTTATAGACAAAAGCAGAAGGAAAAACAAGCAAAAGAGGAAGAACGTAGAAAGAGAGAAGAAGCTAAGGAAGAGGAAAAAAGAAAAAAAGAAGAAGAAAAGTTAGAAGCAGAACGTAAGAAACAAAAAGCAGCTACAACTTTTGCCAGTTTTTTCGTCGCTAAGAAACAAGAGAAATGCATTGAAGATGAAAATACAACCGAAATAAAAAATTTCATGCCTTTTGAAATTAAGGCGGACATGAAAATAGCTCCAGTTTGTAGGAGAATCCTAGAAGAACAGGAGAAATTATTATTAGATGAAAAAACAAATAAAGGAAATACGGAAATATCAGATTTATATCTTAATGAAATTAAAGATAAAAAAATTGTTCCCCGTAAATCATTTAAAACTTGGCCACTTGAAACAAAAGATGATATAATTTTATTAGGTAAGCATTATTTTTTTTTTTTTTTTGACAATAATTAATCTGTTTACAATAAATTACTAATATTTTTTATTTTTAGACGAAGAAAACGAAGGTAGTTCGAACATCGTAAATCAAAATATCGTTGTAGAGAAACAACGACCTAAATTATTACAATTTTCTGAAAATTTGCGTCCACCTTATTGGGGTACATGGAGGAAACGCAGCAAAAATATTAATCCTCGAAGACCGTTTTCAAAAGATATGGTAAGTTTGAAATTAAGAGATTATATATTTATAAAATGATCCCATTAAATATAAGTTTATTTATTCTTAGTTTATATTACTAAGTCACATTAATCACAATAGTTAGTGATAATGATAAGTTAAAAAGGGATGATTAAATATCACAAAAATTGCAAAAAAATGATAGTTTTTCTCATTAATTATATAGAGAGAACTGATAAACATATTTCTAATATTATTTATATTATATTATTATACATCATTATAGATTCAATTGTAGAAAAATCAATTTTAATTTTAAGAAATACTTTAATGTGTAAAATAGTAAAACATTTTTAAATCTTTTTTTATTAAAAAGAATTTATATATACCAACTGATTTCTTTTACAATTTTATTAGGATTATATAGGGTATATTCAATAATTGACAAACAATTTATTGTATTTTTAACAATATTTATTGTCATTTTATAAAGTTTGTCACTTAATTCAGTTCAACATTTTAGAAGAAAGATTACCCAAGTAATCTTATTCGATCTCTTTTGTCGATATTAATATTATCATTATATTAATTAGGTAATTGTCTCGTCTTCAAATCAATTATTAAAAAAATATATTTACGTGTAAAATTTCTACATGGAAATTATTTTCCATCGATCGTTCAACGCGTCAAGAACGAAGTACAATTTCTCTACGCGATTAAATATCATCGTAAGAAAATAACGAGGTTGCTGATTCGGAAAATCTGGAAGGAAAGTTTTCTTCCGTCCCTTCCCATATCGTTTCGAAATCATCCTCATCGATTACGTTACACGAGAAAAAAATTGACTAAATCTCCGCTGGTAGAATTGAATTCATCTTCCCTCCACGCAGACCTCTACCTCCGTGAAATAGCGAATACGCGTTTTTCCTATGCACTTTGCGATGTTTGGCCAGATGATCGCTGCGCGCGAACCTTTTCGAGCACATCTCGCAGGGATAAGGTTTCACGCCCGAGTGGGATCGTCGATGCCTTGCCAATTCGTCGGATCGACTGAAGCGCCATCCGCATCCGGACCACGTGCACGCGAACGGTTTCTCGCCAGTGTGTCGACGTAAATGAGCCTTGAGGTGGGACGCTTTTGCGTAAACCTGCATTTCGTTAAATTGGATCAACGAAATTGAATGATTTCTGAGAAAGTTAGAATTCTCGTCGCTCAACAACATCTTAAACAATATAAATACCTTCACGCATCCTTGATAAGTACAAGGGAAGCATCGATCTTCCGCCGCGCTCGCCAAACTGCGATTAGTGTAATCGTGCGTCGCCAATGCCGCTGCAGCCGCAGACGAGATATCTCCTTCCACTCGATTGTTGTTGTAATCTTGAAACATTCGTCGAACGAATCAGGTAAAACGAACTCTCCTCTTAAATTTTTTTCTCGAAAAAATTTTAATTATCGATCGATAAATAACCGATTACCTCTCGTCTCCAACGTGTCGTCGAGCGCCCTCAAGTCGATTCCGAGCACCCATAACGGCTCCTCTCCTTGTTGAAACGTTTGTTGTTGGGGGCCGGGCAAAGGCAAGTGTAGAAAACCTTCGCAACCCGCTGTGCACAACGGCGTCCTCTCCGGAAGCCCCGAGTTCCAACCTTTGTCCAAACACCATTCCAATTCCGAATCCAACTCGCTCAGCTCGCTCAGCTCGCTAAGACATCCGTTGCCTGATACGAAAGAGGAAACGAATTATACACTCAAAATTCATCCATCTATCCATCCATTCGTTCCGTTCCGTTCCGTTCCGTTTCGTTTCGTTTCGAAAAATTTCCTCTTTACCTGACAAGGATGTCGAATTGTTGTCGGACCACTCGTTCCAAGACGATTGCCCCTTGGCCGGCCAACTGAGATCCGTGTAACAACCGATCGGATTCCCGATGCT